TTACTCATGTTGTTAAAACCAGGTTAGATCAGCTCCCCTGGTTCCTCCTAGGAGCTGGAACAGTCCAACAGATGCATTGGTATTAATTACCRCTCAGTGGGAGTTTAAAGCTCTTCCTCCTCCTCCCACCTGTTGTTTCTCAGACCCTAACCTCACACAGATGTGCAAAGACCACCAGCTTAGAGCTCGTCTCTCATTGAATCCCCCCCTCTACCACCTCTCTRCCACAGCCTAATTGGGTCACTATTTACCCCACAGTCAGCACAAGTGACACAGAAGGGAGGGAGACTTTCGGTCCACCACCAYGATGTCTTAGCATATGCCCCGAATGGCTGCAGGCAGAGAGATTAGAAACAAAACAGACATTTATTAATAGTGTTAGTTATTGTGTGGCTGCAGGTGAATCATCCCAGGCTCAGTATCAGCGAGCTGTAATCTGCAGCAGGACACAATGCTAAATTTCATCCTGCACTCTTTAAAATGACCCATATGACTGTGTAAGCTTCACGTTTGCTCCCGGCTYGGATATCTGCACGAGCGGCGGAGGCTTGTGGCTCCAAATATGCATTATATCTGAGGAGTGTGCCTTTATTTTTGGGCCCAGCTGCAGTTGAGGTCAGCCAGCCAGAAGAACACACACACAAAAACACACAGAGACGTAGCCTCAGCATGGAGGAAGATAAGACTCGGCTCAAATTGCCGTTTTGTGKGCACGCGCACGCTTTTAAACGAGGACAATTCGACCTTGCTAATCTGTTTTGCTTCTTCCCCCCTAATCAACTGACTGACTAATCCATTTCCTGATGCCAAGGAGCGCCGCGGTTCAGCCTGGAGGCCGAGCGGTGCTGGCAGAGCCATCAGGGAGGCAGGACGATAGCACAAGCCCCGGCAGTTATCCGAACACGCCGCGCTCCTCAGACAATATGTCAGCGACAGAAGGTGGCGGGGCAGGACGTCGGACAACTGATCGCTGCTGATTCGTTTTCCGGTCCAACTTTAGAAACCATCAGTATTTCCTGATTAAAGGGTTGAGGATTAGATCTGGATTTGAAACTGTGGATCTGGATGTTAAAAGACAGATGTTCAGACAAGTCAGCAGCACCAGTTTTCTACTATTTTCCTCTTTTTGTTCTGTAATATTGAACCACAGCCAACTAATTTCCAACCTGGCATATTTCCCTCCTACACAATGCTGACAGTAAAATGGCTGCTTCAGGCAGCTCATTTTCATATTGATTTTTGGTCACTTTTGAATGCTTTATCACTTTTTTTAGAGGAAAAATACACCTGTTATAAATTTGAGTATGTTTTGCATTTATATTGTTTCCTTTGTCTAGTTTAATTGTGCTTCTGGTTTTGACTTTTTGTTCAGTTTCAATCAATATTGTTGTAAAATTCATTGTTTGTGTGAAAGCTAATTCAGCATTCACAGTATTTATTTTTCTGCACACTTTTCTCAGTTTATTTCTCAGATCTTTGTTCTATTTCAACATCACAAAGTTCACCTCATTCAGGAAATTTGCAGAATGTCTTACAAAATGTTTTTTTAAGTTTTTACATCAATACTTCGCCATAGAAATGCATTGAAATTGCTTCAATTCATTCAAAATGCATGTTTTATTCTACTTCAGCATACTTGTTCTGTTTTTGTTTTCTTGTTCTACGTTTAGTTTTTCTGTATCATTCTGCTACTTTTAGTTATTAGCTAGTTTTATTATGCAAATGTTCGCTTATAGCTAGCCTTTTAATACTTTAAGCCAATCTGACTCTATAGTTTTAGCTTTATTGACTGTTCTGCTACTTTATAGATTTTAGCTATTTTTGATCATTTTGATTTATAGTTTTAGATTTTAGTGATAATTTTGTGAACTCTCCCTTTTGTAATTCAAAAAGTGAAAAGTGTTCATCACCACTTTTAGCTTTTAGCTTGCATTTTGATTAATTTAGCTATTAGTTAGCCTTTTGCTACGTTTGTTTCTTTTAGCTAAACTTTTGCAATGCTAAGTTTTTAATTATTACCTGGGCAATTTTCAACTTTTAGTATTTAGCTAGCCTTTTAGCAAAAAGCTAGCTAAAAAGTTAAAAGCTTTTGAAGTGTCTTTAAGTGCCTTGGGCATGACACTTATACCCACCCTGATATTTTTATCAGTGTATGAGTGAGAATATAAAAGTAGAGCACACAGTTTAGTGTGTAAAAATAAATGAAACTCTGAGAAGGCCTTTGCAGAACCTGCAGAAGTTAAACCAGTGCTGAATGTGGACCTTTTTAAAGCATTTAAACTGGGAGAACCTTTTTATAATATTAAAGTTACCTGCTGACAATGAAGAATTTTAAAGGGTGATTTTTCATTAAATATCTTCAATCAAATCTACATTTTATATTTGCTGTGATACAGACATAAACATGTTTGATTTTTTGTTTAAATAAATGCTTTTAATGTGACACAAATTTGAATAGATTAAAACGGAGAATTCTGGGATGTTCCGGTTTAATCTTCTCTTCTCTGAATCGCCATGTCAACGCAAATCCATGCCATAAAAAATACTTCAGTAGAAGTCAATTTTATGCATCTGATATGGGTGTATTACATAAAAGTGTAATCAAGAAAAATGTTTTTAGTGAATAAAAGTGTTTTAAAATGTTCCTGTTCTCAGCTCCAGGCTGCAGATTGGGTCTGAGTAGCGTGAAGGGATGATTACAATCCTGTGGATGTTTTGCATGAACACTTTAAAGTACCGACTTTACATCTTATCTCCACGGCTGAATGGAGCCTGACTATCGAGCTAAAATTAGGATGAAAAGTTGACACAGTTAGCTCAGCTGTGGACATTTCAGTTCGGCGTTCAGCTCTTATGTGYTATTTTATAATTTGACTGCAATCAGACGGCATTTAACGCAACACACATGAGTTTATTTAACTGAGTGGTAACAGTGGTGCCTCTTTATTTTACCTGTTAGCAATCAAATTTACAAATTTACACTAAAAGCAGAGTGTGGCACCAAGGCTGAGATGGACTGAATCAATAAAGTGGGAAGCCAGTATGTGTTTAGTTTTCTTTAAAAAAWTTTATTTAAACACCAAATGATTTAGGGTCTAGGTTTCTTTGAAAGAATCCATATCTATTATGTCAGAGTTTTAGATTGAAATCATTATGTTGAAAAGTTGTTTTTGAGCTATTTTGCTATCAGAGAAATATGGGTAATACCAACAGATAAATMTAATATTTTAGGCAAAAATGTCACATAATATGTCATTGTCAGGGTATATGTGAATACTCAGTTACTACCACATGAAATTTTAGCTCTATATTTGTCAATTCGGTGAAGATTCTTTACCAATTTGAAAAATATTAAGCTAAAAATATAGAGCTAAAAAACAYATAAATGGTTGTTTCTTCAGTTTATTATTATTATTAACCATTATTTAACCAGGCAAGTCCCGTTGAGATCTCAGATCTTTTTATCAAGGGAGGCCTGGGCCTGAAGGTAACCTATTGTACATGTTTTTAGGGGTGGGGGAAACCAGAGTACCTGGAGAAAACCCACGCAAGCATGAAGAGAACATGCAAACTCCACACAGAAAGACCCCAGGCCATTCCAGTTGGCTGTGGCAGCCATCTTGAATTGGACTAATTTCAAAATCTGTTTGTGGTGTGTAAGATATTTTGCTAACAAACAGACAGATCTGATTCCATTTGTGATTGTGAAAACTTTGGGTTGGGGAGAAAATTCAGCTACCGTAAGCTAAATGCCTGTAAACTGGACTGAGTTAAGCCACTTTTATGTTTGCTAAAGGCTGTCACACTACAAGATTTTAAACCAGTCGGCCGATTTTCAAACACTGCGATAGCCCACACGTGAGGATAAAAAAATCATGGATCTACCAGTTTTGGTCCTACAGTGTGTGGTGTACAGCCACACAGCAAGAGACAACACACCACACACGAAAAGATATTTCATTCTTGATTCGGATGTCAGATATTAAATCCCGCGAGACTTCCTGAAATCTCGCGAGAATTCAGATGTCCGWGGAAAAATGTCACGTGACCTCCAGAGAGACATGAGTTCAAAGTAAATAAAYATCTGCAACAAGGAAGACACAATGTTGATCGTTTGTGGACTATTTTTACCAGAGGAAAAACAATTTCATAGGACTTTTAACATCCAGCAGACTTTCTGGTGAGTTATGACAGTTTATTTTTTTTTGTCTTCTGTATTTGGATTCCCCTCCGTGTTTACGTTACCTCACTTTCTGATTGGCTACACGTCTCATTCACAGATTGAGGGCTCGAGTGAACACTACACACACTATGATATCGGGCCAAAAAAATCTAATATGTTGAATATCTCCGATTTGAGGTCAGAGCGGTTCCAACGTCCTTCCGAGCTGACTAGATCATTCGTAACTCACCACCCACGGCGGGAATATCTGCTATGATTATCTTTAGCGCCATCATGATTATCTGGACTTCCTCAAGATTGTCGGAAGGGCAAAAATCRGCATGATTTGCTTGTAGTGTGACGCCGGCCTAAGATTTCATTGTTGTGGCGGCCATCTTAAATCGAATTTACTTCAAATGTTTTTCAGTTGTAGATGCACATCCAATGATTTGAAAGCTAATCCAATCTGTGATTTATGAGATACTTTGCTAACAGTATAGACAAACACACGTGGGCAAAAATATTGTCACTCAATCTTTGCCTTCAGTGGAGGTCAATAAGAACAGAAAAAGACGGTATGAGATATTCTGATTCAAGGGAGGTATCAATAGCTATGTTTACAACAACATTTTTTGATCAGATTAAAATGTTTTTGGATTAAATAAACAGCATAAACAACCCCTCACATTCGGATTAATAATTCATTCCAGTCAAGCTGAATCAGATTGGGAATCTGAATCTGATTGGCCGTTTATTCGATTGCTATATGCTCATGTGAACACACTCCCCCCAGGAGACCACTCAGGTGCGAATGAACATCCAAACCAAAGAGACTTACTGGCAACCTCCAACGAAGCGTTCCGGCTGACGGCCTCTCCCAGGTAGTTGCGGGCCACGCAGGCATAGACGCCCTCGTCCGGTTTGCTCCGGCGCCCRTGGACGATGCGCAGGAAGAAGAGGGAGCCGCTGGGCAGGAGCATGCGGTGAGAACGGGGGTCGTCCTTGTCGGTCTCCACACGCTCCCCATCTTTGTACCACTCTACGGTGGGAGTGGGTCGGCCCTCCGCCTTGCAGTTGAGCGTGGCGGGCTCCCCCTTGGAGACGATCAAATCCGAGGGGTCTTCGGCTATCCGAGGAGCGCTGTCKTCAAACCGTGCTCGAGACCCTGCRGACAGAAAGTGACCACGTTTACTGTTTATGAAAAACTTGTAAAGTAGGGAGATAGAAGCAGGTTTTGGTAGGTTTTTAGATACACTTGCCAYCTCATTCATAAAAAAGCAGATTGTGAATTTTACTGAAGCCATCTAAAAGATGTAGAGATGCTACTTCCTGTCAAACTGAGAGTAAGACAGAGAAATCTTAGCAYCTAATAGGAGAAAAGCCCACGAAAAGAGAAAGTGTTTGGCAGAAAAGTATAGATAACTCCTATATTTGACTCCCCGGGGATCCATTACTATTTTTGCTTGGCTGTGAGGGAAAGGCGCTGTGCCTCCAGACCTGAGCTAAGCTCTTAGAGCACGACCAAATGTCTCCAACAATGTCTTACAGTCAGAGAAATGAATTATTCAAAATGCTGCTGCTTTTAGGTCTGGGGAACAGATGGTCTCACTCTCACTTTTGCTTAAAACAAAAAAAAAATGTGGCAGGGGAGGGTGGTGGGTGGGGGGGGGGCACACAAAAAGGCGCCATTGATTATTAAGCTGCTCTGTCTGAGGCATTAAATAATCCAGAAAATCCTCCATTATGATTGTGGAGTAGCAGTCAGGACTAACCTGATGACACACATGCAGCCATTAAATTATACTTAAACCACTGGGATAAAACTGCATTTTTTTTTTTACTTTAAGCAGATTTAGGCCCTTTTTTAGAGCTGATTTGATCTAAGCTGACCAGAAGTCTCCAATGGAGCCAAAAAAAAACCAAAAAAAAAAAACCTGTGGTAAACATTGCTCCCAGCTGACGTGCCGGGGTCATGAAGCAGGACGACTGAAAACTGTAACGCAGGACGAAGATGAATACTAATCGAGCTATTAAAACGTGCCATTGCACCTTCAGGGCATCCTGTTGTGCAAAAGCGCCACTGTGTTTAACAAAAACAGACAAGTCTGAATCCAGAGCCTGAGAGAGGATCCCCGAGGATATCATTATGGGATTTCTTTTAGATCATGTTTCATCTCATCTGTATTGTGTATTGAGGCCTGAGTGTGCAAATATCCACATATTTGACTGTTTGTCCACAGTAAAGAGTCTCTGCAGCTTAAAAAAAAGCTGAGCATCCAACACTTCCCACAATGCAACTAAATGACATCCTTTAATAGATCTGCGCTGCACACTTTCCAAACACACACCTCCATTTTCTAACTCATTAAATTATAAAATGACTACTCAGTCACTCGAATGTAAGATGCTCAGCGGTGCAAACTACGCAAGAAAAAATGTTCCTCCAGGAGCAACACACACACACACACATACACACACACACCTTTGTGAACGTGAAGTCCATAAAGTGTGTCCGAGGCTGCAGCAGCACACTCGAATGGGACAAAATAAAATATTCATACAGCTTTTCTAGACTTTCCAAATGTAACTGGAGCAAATGGGTCACATGTGGATAACACAAAGGAGCGTTTCGCAGCATTTCTGACACTCAGAGAAATATATTCTCCGTGCATTGGGAGGGGAAAGAGGGTGGAAAAAAGCATTTTGGGGTCAGTGTGAGTCATGTGACAGAGTATGGCTGCCCTGTCAGAGCCAATGACAGCACAGCTCAGGGAGACTCCTGCAGGCTCCATTTCAAATTTTACATCTTTATGCCAGAGCCAAGAGGACATGTTTTTAAAGAAAAAGTTTCTCCAGAGTCATCCAATCCTTTGGCATAGTAATGGACTGCATACGTTCTTTGTTTCAAAACATCTTTAGTCTAAATAACCTAAAAATGTAATTTAGTTGAATAGTTTGAGATTAAACAGAGGTTCAGATCATTTTATTTGCCATGTTCAGACTGTCACTTTCTTGTGTTATCCAAGTATTTGCCGTGACTGTACTATGTACTGTATATGCACATATGTATGCATTATTTTTACTAATTAGATGAGAAGAAATCAGACAGGAGCAACATGGGCCATAAAAATGAAAGGATTTGTGCCATTTACTGCAGAGTGAACATAGCCTCATTCTTCTGATGCATGGAGTTTTAGCCATTTTGGAGAAACTTTGTAAATGGCGTTAAATATGTTACGCAGTTTGTGAGATCTAACGAGTTGTGTTATTACTAAGAATATGTTTTGAGGTTGACTCAGACATGATCACATCAAAATTAACTCAGTATTTGTAAAACTGAATGAATTATAGCCATGTTTTTTATGTTTTAAGCTCTGTAGGCTACAGTGTCCATTTTGAATTGGGTTAGATGATTTCTGAGTTTCACTGAAATCCTTTCAGGGATTTATGAAGATATTTTGCTAACACCGCAGACAAATGAACACACAATTATGGCCTTTTTGCTTGAAGCGGTGAGAGATCACAAAACCAATTAATCTATCCTTTCATTTATCTGTCATCACCTGCTGGTGCCTTTTTTATTCTTTTATCTTTCTTATTATTAGTCCCTGTAGCTGAGGTGCTCTCTTTTGTTGTGTTCAGCTGTGTGTGTGGGCAAACACTGTGAAGTCCTTGTTGCTTTCCGTCCGCTTGAAGAGCAGAAATATCACCATGACTAATTGCTGTGCATAAATTATATTTGATGACTTCAAGGAGACAATAGCTGCCTTTAAGAATATCAGAAAAGACTTTGTTGCCAGCAAAAGGCACTCCATCTTAAAAGAAACACCAACTTTTTCTCTTTAAAATACACTGTTCTGTAATTATGATCGGGTCAATGAACACTTACTACATATCGCTGTCACAGAACAGGCACAATATTGATATATTACAGAGAAAATAGTATTTCCCAGCAAAGAGAAAAAAAAACGAATTACAAACAGCTTCAGGTGACTGAAGTGACAAGCAACAACCTGCTTCGCTGACAAGTGTGCAATCAGTGAAAAGTCTCTGCCACTTTGCTCACGGCAGAAACACAATTTCTTTGTGAGAGGGAATATTTTCACAGTAATGTTCGGTTCATGACAGGAAGATTGTGGTGCAGCACTTGAAAGCACCTTTCAGCTAAAAAGAAACTCCGTCAACCCTGCAAGTGTCACGGGGAAATAAATGTCACGGGCAACGATGGGGATCTCTGTGAAGGCATGTGTTTAGTCGGATCATGAGCACGGCCCATTAGAGTCCGCGTCGGGCCCCTCAGAGATATTCAACAGCACATGGGAATTTAGAGTCAGACTTGATTTGTGTAAAAGAATAAATAAATAATATTCCAGGGCATTCTGCTGTGAAATAACTTTTAAATTTACAAGGGATGAACGGGCAGAGAAGGGCACCGGCCAAGTGTGAAGCTGAGTTTTGGAACGAATTATAAAAAGAAGAAAAGACGCCTCGCAAATTTGACTTAAGTTCATGTCGAATGTTGTTACAGTTCGAAAAACTCGCAGTTTTATCTTAATTGATCTGTTGTTTCAAAGGAAAGAACTCTGAGGTAGGAAAAGRCTTTATTGAAACGCTCAAAAAGTAATCCTGTGGGGTAAATCTGGAATCAACCTGATTCAAGATAGYCGCTRCAGCTAATCAACCTTAGCAAGCAAAAAATAAAAATGACAACAACACATGTCCATTTTACAAATTTGAAGCTTAAAATTGGTGAGGTAGTAGCTGAGAGCCATTTCCATAACATGCCCCACACAAGCTTTGTTTCAAACTTTGGCATATAAAATACCAGGAAATATGCATTATTCTAAGAAATGCCAGTTTCAAATATGAATATAAATTTAGGGGATGAGAGGGTCAGCTTCAGTGATTTGAATAGTGCTCTTTTCAGTAACATCAGCATTAAGTAAAAAAAACGTTAGCCTTAATTAGGAAAACCGTACGTAGTTTTGGAACACATTCACTGAGCTGTGAATGAAAACTGAAAAGCAATAAAGACCAGGGCTGATGAGAGAAGTATCTGCAGCTGTGACAGATGAAAMAGGGTGCAGGTTACCACCCCCTTCTCTGGTCCACCGTTTGAGATGTTTCTGTGGACTACTTCGGGTGCTTTTTAACACCAAATAAGAACAAAGAACAGTGCTTTTTAGAGAATATGCATAACTACAACTTCAGGCCCATTCACATTTTTCAATTACACAATCAAGACTAAAATGATTTGTTAACCTCCTATAGGCTTCAATGAAAAGTCAAGGAGGATGAGTCCACAAAGTCCTTTTAAACTCAGTGACTTCTACACTTGTAAAGGGGAAAATAGAGTCAAGATAAGCTATAAGAGTGAATGGCAGTCAACCTTGAGCTGTAGCACAAACGGAGGGAGTTTGATGAATGAGATTGTGAGATTGTACCAAGCTCTCCACACTCTCAAGGCTATCCGCTGTGCAAAGCAATGTGTTAGAGCAGAAGGTACTTCTCAGGGAGGAATGCAGAAAATTTAACATTGCTCACAAAAAAAGGATAAGAAAAAAAGATATATTTTTTTTAATTTTGACCTTTCGGTGCACACATAGGAATATTGTCAATAATAAATTTTCTCCTACATGAACTGCAAGGTTTGATACAAAGAGGAAGGAATCTGATCTACATGAATGTTCGTCAACATCAAACTATTTCAGTTCAAGACTTTGAACTTTAAAAATAAATAGGGTGATTTTTTTTAAAGAGTTGCTTTATTTCTTTTGACAACATTCAAGCAAGTCAACCTGAAAGCAGCAGTCACCAGAGGCAATGTTAATAAGATGATTCATTAAAGAAATAAACCAAAAGCAGCGCCGAAGCGGGGATCAAAAGACCTTCCAAAAGGAATTTGTCAAGAAAAACTTTTCAGAAGATACAACTAAACAGACTGTCACAGTCTAGCAAGAGCCCATAAGACAGGTGGGGGTAGATCTGGTGCCAAGCTGGCCCTGCTAACATGGCAAGTGGTTTTTCAACTGGATGTGGGTCAGTTCTGGCAATGATGGCACTGTTAGGATGGCAYAYCACAACTGGCTCAGTGTTTGTCTGGTTAWTATAGAAGTTCAAGCCATTTACCWTTTTTACCATTTATGTGGTGCTGGCCCGTGCATG